CCTCAGAGCTATTCTTTTTCCCTGCTAGGAACTCCCCACCCACCAAAGCAGCCTGTGTTCCCATGGGATGCGTGGCCCTGAAAAGCCTGTGGCAGGAGCAGGGTGTATCTTCACCTGTTGCCAGGAGATGGCTGGACTCCGTGTGCTTCCCTGCAGCGATATTTTACATTTCAGTACAGAATTTTTGGGGACCTTTGCCTTGCACAGAGCCCCCAAACACCCTCTCACAGTCTCCCCGGGCAGCATCCATGCAGCAGCATCACCCCGTGCTAATACAAGGCACAAAAAGAGAACCATGCAGGACAAGGTGACCACGTAGCTGGGAGCACTGTCACACCATGACAGTGCTCAGGCTGTCAGTCCTCCTCCCTCCCATTCCCTACAACCCTGCCCTGCTCACCCTCCTCCTGCCTTCCTAACCCATCACTGCTTCCAGGGGTCAGTGTCTCCCTGCCCACAGCTCTGTCACCCCCACCCCACAGTGACAGGCTCAGCAGCAGGCTGGGAGAGCCACAACCACCACCCCAGGAGCTGCCACTCTGCTCTCATCCTGCTGCTTCCACAGCACAACCTTTCCCCTTCGGACATGTGAAGCTGCTCCTGAGCTGAGCTCCCAGAGGATGCTGCTGTTCAAAGCTGATCTCTGACACGCACTTGAAGCCCCGCTCCCACCCCAGCCCCTCTCACCTTCTCGGTGATTCAGGCAAACCCCATTTCTGCTGTTCCTCTGTGCAGTTTTTGTGCTGTTCCCACTGTCCCAATGGTTTCATCCAAGCTTCTATCACATCGCAGCCACCACAACCTCCTCCTCTCAGGGCTGGATAAGGCAGGTATCACTCTGCTTGTCCCTTCCCAAGAGGCTGCTACAAACCCCCTGTCTCTCCCCAGCCATTCCCTGCCCACATCCCAGTGCTGCTCTGACTCTGAGCCACCTCGGCAGCACCAAGGGCTCTGCTGTCACCTCCCACCGCTCGCACCACGCTGCCAGCCCCGCTCCAGGAACTTCCACAAAGTCTCCCCAGGGAAAGCGCCGCACATTGACCCCCAGAGCTGCTTCAAAACACAAGGCACCACCTCAGGAAGCCCTTTCCCTCCACAGCTACAACCTCCTGCGAGCGGGGACAGGGAGGATGCTGTGACCACCAGCTCTCCCGTCCCCACCCCCAGCTCCTGCTGGGGGTTGTTATTATTAATGTTGTATTTAGAAGCCCACCCAAAACAAGGCACAACCTCGTTGAGCTCCAGGCGAGCACAGCACGGCGGCAGCACAACTCCATTCACAAGTCCCCGAGCTCTACTCCAATACATTCTTCCAGGTCTGTGAAGCTTTGGGGTTGGGTTTTTCCTTTAGTTTTGCTCTCTCTTCCCCTCCCCAGAGCTCTCCAGGGAACACGAGGCTCCCCAGAAGGGCATTTGGCTGCGACAGAGGTGGATCCACACCCCAAACAGAAGCTGTCCAAAACAGAATCTGAGAGCACTGTCACACTGCACAGGGCAGGGAGCAATGCTGGAGCCAGCACACACTTCCCGACTCCAGCCAGCCCAGACAGGAAGCACAGCCAGACCCCGAGGGGGTTAAATCCCCGCTCGTGTGAAACAAGGGCAGCTTCATGGAGGTCAGTGAGGATGTGACTGACGTGTGGGTCTGAATCTGCAGCGGGAACTGGCCCCCAGTCCTGTGCCAGTCAGAAAGCCTTTGCCTCGGAACGGCAGAAAGCCCCTTTGCATTCCAGACCTCCACCCGGCTTTTAACAACCAGAACGTGTCATTTCAGAG